CCATAGCACCTTCAGCTCACTGGCTGTCAGAACCACTTTTCAAAGCGACATAGGGTTAGTTTTAGGGCAAGTGAGTTGCTTTATTCCCCCCTCCCCGATACATGGCAATCAGCCTCTTCTAGGTGGTCTTCAGTCTGTTATATTATTACAAAAGCTTGGCTTGTATAGGATTTTTCAAAAAGTTCTTATTGTGAAAATTCTCCAACACAAAGTTGCAAGAATAGTACCATGAATACCCATATACCCACCACCAGAATTTAACCATTGTTAACCTTCTATTTGTTTCATATATATTATATATATTTCTGCTGAAGACTCCTCCAAAAAATAAGGACATCTTCTACATAACCACAAGGCCACTATTTTATTACCAAAAAGTTAACATTTACCAATATCATTTTATGCTATTTTTTCAGTTTAATCCTCGAAAAGTCACAGATAGATGCTAGTGTTTCTGAACCAGGATCCAATCAAACGTCTTGCACTCTTAAGCAGGGCTGAAACTAAGGTGAGATGAGTTAAAGGCAGCAGAAGGCTCAGTATCCCAGTAACATAACGCCTTAATGTAATATTTTTTAAAACTCAAGTTGGCAACAGCCCGCTTTTGCAAGTGAAGTTTTACGGGGCTGGATTAAGTTGAGTGATGGAGAGTTATGCCAGTGCCCGACTGTTATTTAAACTTTTGATATTTTGTTCACCGTGGAATTTTTGAAAATTAATTTTTGTTTTTTCGCATATCGCATTCAAATATTTTCCTGATTACTGAGTCTTTCGGCATCCTCTTAAATTCTACAGTCGAGGCAAGTGCCTCGCTCGCCCCGCCCGGGTCCCAGTCCTGTTCTTAACTCTCTTTTAACACAGGTCGGCCCTCCCCTACTTATTCCTGACTTTGACTTTTTTTAATTCTTTCATTGAACATTTATGGAGCACACAGCCAGCTAGCCAGACAAAACTCTCTGCAGATAAAAGTAAAATCCCTGATAGAAGGAAGAAGCCTTCTAATACCGGGCACGACAACGCAATCTACAGAAGCAATAACGTGCCCCAGAACCAGAACAGGGAGGGACTGAGGACATTTCCCTCCCCCGCAGCCAGCTGGGAATGTTCCTGATCCCCAGCTGAGGCTGGCTGGCTTCTTTCCTCACGATGTCCTCTATTTCCCGCACTCCCCCCCAAACTGGACCTGAAAGCTTAACTAGATTCAGGTTAACCATTTGGCGCAAGAGGTCTTCAGATGCGATGCAGTGTACAGCGTATTATTACATCATCTCAGGAGACACATGAGGTCTGGTTGCTCCTTCTTTAGATAACTCTAATTTCATTGATTCCGAGTCAATATGCAGATTGGATTTGGAGAGGGACCATTCTATTGACTGCATACCCAACGCAGAAGGAACTAGACACTCAGATGAGGACATGACCCAGCTGGGGGATTCCTAGCAGGTAATACATTTCTTATTCATTTCATGAAACAATATGCGTGTCTTGTATAAAATTAGCTTATGTGTTGGGGACCCTCACGATTGAATATTGTTGTTTTTTGGTTTTTTTTAAGTTTATTTATTTGTTTTGAGAGAGAGAGCGCACAAGCGAAGGAGGGGCAGAGAGAGAGGGAGAGAATCCCAAGCAGGTTCCACACTCAGTACAGAGCCTGACACAGGGCTTGATCCCATGAACTTTGAGATAGCGAACTGAGCTGAACCCATGAATCAGATGCTTAACTGACTGAGCCACCCTGGGGCCCCAAATATTGTTGATAACGAAGTTTATCATTTAATTTTTATTTAAAAGTTTAAAAAATTTTATTAGATTTACAGAAAAGTTGCCAAGATTTGCTATATATTCTTCACTGATTTCTCCTGATGCTAAAATCTCATATAACCACGGTTCATTTGTCAAAATGAAGACATTGACACTGATACATGAATATTAACTAAACTGCAGACTCCATTCAGATTTCATCAATTTGCACACTACTGACTTTTTTCTCTTTCAGGGTACTATGATGCGTTTAGTAAGTTTCTTTCCTGCCTTCCTCTTGTTCTTGAGGCTGAAGTGATTTTTCTTAATGTTTATTTATTTTTGAGAGAGAGAGAGACAGAGTCTAAGTTGAGGAGGGGCAGAGAGAGGGAGAGACACAGAATCCGAAGCAGCCTCCAGGCTCTGAGCTGTCAGCACAGAGCCCAGTGCGGGGCTCGAACTCCTGAACCGTGAGATCATGACCTGAGGCAAGGTCAGATGCTTAACCAACTGAGCCACCCAGGCGCCCCTGAGTTATTAACTTTTAAACCTCCAATACTTCCAAATTATTGAGCCGAACGTTCCTGGAGAAAGACTATTAATGGAATACACTTGGCGTTCAGACAGCCATGGTTTCTGCCAGCCCACCGTCTGTTCCCCTTCTCCTTCTCCAGGTAGCATCACCTTGATCTTGTTCTTGGCCTAAGACTTGGCGGGATTATCAGGCAGGATGACTTCTCGCTGTGCCAAGCGGAAGCAGGTAACCCATGCTGGGCCAACTGTGCTCTGTCGACACCCCGGGGAAGGGGAACACGGACAGAAAGGAGCAGGGACTGACCTCTCCTGACAGCCATGAAGTACTAACCATCAGCTCCCACGACTTCCTTCCCCAGAGCTGCTCTGATTCTCGTCCCCATTATGATGACGTCCTTTATGTCCTCTGACTGGCCCCACATCTTTCCTGTGAGTTCCACCTCCCTCTCCCCCTTAATTTATGTATTTTAATTTAATTTAATTTTGTTTTTATTTTGAGAGAGAGAGAGAGAAACAGAGCACGAAGGAGAGGGGCAAAGGGAGAAGGAGAGAGAACCTCAAGCGGGCTCCACGCCCCACATGGTGCCTGATGCAGGGCTCGACCCCTTGACCTGGGATCATGACCTGTGCCAAAATCAAGAGTCAGATGCTCAACCAACTGAGCCACAGGTGTGCCCCCAATTTTTTGTAAATAAATAATTAAAAAAAAATACCCTGGTGTCATCATGTCTAAAACCAGACTCTCCACCTGAAAGAGATACCTGAGCTTTGAGAGTGATGACCCCAGTTCTCAAAAAATCTGTGAAAGACAAAAAAGCAGAGAGAGACCCCACCAAATAAATGCCCAGCAAGATTTGGTGAGAATCACTGCTGCTCGTTCCACATATAACCTCGGGTAAATCTCTCAACATCTCTGAACCCCAGTTTCCTCATCAGCACACTGGAGGGTGATGCTACGCCTCCTTCCTAAAGTGTGAGCATTGGAGGAATCCAATACTTTCAGCACCTTGGATGTGCCCAGATCCTTGGACTGCTCGTTGCTACTGCAGTGACTTCAACAAAGGAGTTGAGCTGGCTTGGCCATGGGAATGATTTGTTTATCAGGCTCTATTTGGCGCCCAAGTATACAAAGCTAGTTGACTCTTTGTAGGACGCTGAGCAGTTTGGGGACCCGGGGCCACGAGCATCTTACATAGTGGAATATTTGCGTGGCCAACAGCTCAGAAGGGAGCAATGCATATTCCCGTCACATCCCCCTGAGAGTCCCACAGCTCAACGAGAAGGAGGAATTGGGTCTTTACACCAAGTACAAAACCTTAGGATCCCTCCAGAGACAATAGCAGTCAGTCCTATCAGCGGTCACGGGACATACAAAGGAGCTTCCCATCTTCAGCAAATTCCTTAGCTCCTAACACAGCTGCATTGTAAAGCCAGATTCCCGAATACAGGTTGTTCTCTCGTATTTCTGTAAAGGAGGCCTATTCTGCCAGGATATCCTTCCCACGCACAAGACATCAATCAGGGCAGGGCCATCACTGGAGTTGTGCAGTGTACAACATGCACAACCATACACAGCAGCCCTGGGTAAAAAGAATGGGTTCCAGAGTCACAGACACCTGAGTCTAAAATCTCATTCCTGCCATTTATTCTCAGTAAAACCATGAGTAAACTGACCTTTCTCAATCTCACTTTCCTATTTGTGAAGTTGGAAATTTACAGTGGCGACCTCTCAGTGGCGTCGTGAGGATTAAAAGAAAATAATACGTATGTAAAGATTTTTCACACAGTGCCTGGCACATAGAACATGCTTCATTGTCTCCTCTCCTAAAGGCTTTCTTAATCCCCCCTCCCTCCCTGAGCTGGGTCAAATGCCCCTCCTACATGCTCCTATCTCCTCGTGTGCTATCTCTAAGGTAGCTGAGATTCCTCGCAGAACCGTGATCTCTCGAAGTCAGGGACTGTCTCCCACATTTGGATTGCCAGCACCTAGAACAATGTCTGCCACCTAGAACAATGTCTGCCACCTAGGTGACACTCACTAAGTACCAGCTGAAGAAATGAATAGCTAAACGCTGCCTTCAGTGGGACCCAAGGGAAAAGATTGCCCCTCTTATTTTCCATTAGGAGCCAGCAATGGGGGAAAGAGGCAGAGAAATGAGGAAGGAGAGCGTGGGCTGGATGCTTGCCAAAAGCAGGTCAGCCCCTTCCTGTGGCCATTTTTTGGGGGGGAAGAAAAACCAAGTGAAACCCTGTACCAAGCCGGGCCTAAGAAGATAAACAAGCCAAGGGTTCTGCTGAGACAGTGGCCCGATTCTCCCTGACCAGGGGAAAGGGGGGGTCGTGGGGCACCAGACAAACACCCCCTTCCAATGTCCTTCCCTGAAGCTCACCTCCTGCTCCCCATCCCAGCCCCCCCCCCCCAGTCTCTTTCCTTCATAGAAGCCGTCTTCAGATCCGAGACCGTCTCTTACCCGGTGAGATCTCCGAAGGCTGGCCGGAGCTGCAGGGAGTCTGAATCACCCCTAACCACAATGGCCTCGGAATGACAGAGGGTTTCTGTTTCCACAGTGGGCTCTAAAGTGGGTTTTGTTTGTGGCGCAGTTTGACTTCACGTGGCCCCTGCCATCTGGGAGCTGAGATCAAATGAGCAACTTCAAAACACCCATGAAAACGTGTAAAAACAAAACGACAGCAAAAAGTACAGAGTTGGGGGAGATGTGGTTTAACGGGAGCACGTGTGACAAATGATTTAGCAGCCCAGACACCTGGGGACGCAGCATGAGTCAGCTGAAGGATGTGGGTGCCAAAAAAAAAAGAAAGAAAGAAAAAAAAGAAAGAAATACAACCTCAGGCAAACTGGACTCGGTGAAGCTTCCAGAAAAAGAAAGGTGATGGCGAGCTCTGCTCCGTGCTGGTCAGACCACCCTGGAGGAGGTTTGGCTCTTCCGGATGTCCCATCATGAGGGGAAAGGGCGTGTCCTGAATGGAATTACTAAGATTGGGGTTGAGGTGGGGGTGGGGCAGCGGAGGGACTCAAAACGGGGTCTAAAGTTGGACAAGAGGAAGAGAGGAGTGACCTGGAGGGGAAAGGGCTTAGGTGGAGGGATGGGGGGAGGGAGGGTCTGCTGCCTGTAACCTCTGCTTGGAAAGCCTTCTTCTCTCTGCCTGATCCCTTAGGCTTCCGCGGTCACCGCCTCCAAGAAGCCTTCCCTCCCCTCCCTAAGCAGAACCAACCATGCCTCCGCAGGGACCCCCTTCCTCCGCGTCTGGGGGTCAGGTGCTGTCATCACGCCCCCCTGACATGGATCGACATTGGTTGAGCAGAGTCCCCATTCTATTTACCCGGGGCCCTGGCACAGTGACGATTCCTCAGCTCACATCTGATTACTTACATGGTTGGCATGAAAACTGTCATTGAGCACGAGGAAGAGATTGTAGTCTTTCTGTGGGGCTCAAAAAGACGGAACTGGAAAAAAGGGCGGAGATTACGAGACGGTGGATTTCAGCTCAAAATTAGGAAGTACTTTATAATAATGATGACAATGGCTTGGCAGAGCCTTTTAGTCCAAGTTAATCTAAAACTTAGTAGTCTTCTTTTTTTAAACTTTTGAAAAATGTTTTTATTTGTTTTTGAGAGACAGAGAGAGACAGAGCACCGGCGGGGAAGGGGCAAAGAGAGAGGGAGACACAGAATCTGACGCAGGCTCCAGGCTCATGGCAGACCCCGATATGGGGCTTGATCCCATGCCCCTGAGATCATGACCGGAGCCAAAATCAAGAGTCGGACACTTAACTGACTGAGCCACCACGCACTCCAACAAATTAATTTTTATCACAGAGAGGGTGCCTGGCTGGCTCAGTCGGTACAGCATGTGACTCTTGACCTTTGGGTTGTGGATTTGGGCCCCCCATTGGGCATAGAGATTACTTTTTTAAAAAATAAAGATATAAAATGTTAATTTCCATCACAAAAACAATATGTGTATTAGTGTATAGATTGTAAGTTGCTTGAGCAATTTCCTAAGCATTTAAAAGTTGATGTAATGGAAATCTGAATGACCATATCTGTCCGTCTCACTGTCCTCTGTGGTTAGATCTGATGGCGTATTCTCAAATTCCCATGAAGAAGATAAGGAAGCCAAACACATAGATGTTCGTTAACTTGTCCATGGTCACACACCCAGAAAGTCTCTAAGCTTTGGTTTAAACCTAAAAACCCGGTCGTTACTTTTTGTGCCACATTTCACTGCACCTGCTGTCTCCTGGGTGTCCCCTGGTCAGGGACGCTGGGGCAGTGGTGTTCAATCCTGGCTGTACATAAACTTCACCTTGGGAAGTGTTGACAAATTCCTGATGCCCAGGCTCGAACTCCAGGGATTATGATCTAATTGGTCTGGAGTTTGATTCTGTTGTGCAGGGTTGAAAAACTGCCAGCACTGGGTGGGGGTCAGATCATGCCTTCCTTCCAAATATTACATTATCACCTGGGCTAAATGAAATGGACTCTTGTTACCAAGCAACTGGGGACTCAGAATGTATAATGTATACACGGGTTCCTCTTTGTTATCTTGGGCCCCATGGAGGTCTGAGCTTATCTTGAAAGGCAAGTAGATGGTGGCTAGGCTAGGAAGGAAGTGAAGTCCAGTTAGAAGGAAAGACTCAGGAGACACCTAATGCCGAGGATAGAATTTCAAGAATATAAATTATTAACAAGAGGCCTTTTACAGAAGTCCTCTCTCAGATTCTCTAGCTGCTGGACTATTTTCTTGCCTCCCTCATTCACATCACCAGCCCCTACTCAACTGTCCACTTTGGCCAAAGACACCTTTCTCCACACAGATACAAAGAATAACCAAGAAAGGGATCTAGGGCAAAGAGCTGCTGGAAGGAGAGGTCCCCATGGAGGAGGAAGGGAGACAGAGAGAATTCCTTTTAAATTAATTATTGGTTGTTGTCTTCTACTTCTTGAACATGACATTGCCCTTAAGTTGAACCATGGGGCCATGCTGCCAATCGGGCATTATAGGCATAAGAAGACTCGTCGGGGTTTCTACATGGCTTTCCTCTGAAATCACACTGTACCTTGTCTACCCCGCTCAGCAGTGTAAGCACACAGCTGCTATCAGCACTAATCCTAGAGGCAGGATGCTATGACGGTCATTCATTGGAAAATGCTGACTGAAGGACTGGGCCATGCATGGATCAGGGCATTAAAGATGAAGCTATGAACAAAGCACAGGGCTTGTCTTCACGAAGCTCTCCAGAGAGAAAAGCAGATCATCTCCACTGGGACAGGCATGGGGCTGATGTCATAATCCTCAATAGGCTCCTCATGAAAATGCTAGAGAGGGGCTTTCAAGGTGTTGAAAGACGGGAATTCTGATCCTGGAATTTTATACCCAGCTAAACTACCTTTTGCATGTGGGAGTGAATTGAAGACAGTGTTGTGTACTCTAGGAGGCCCTCAGAGGACTCCCCACACAAACATCTGCTTTGAAGACATTGTTGGAGGAAGCTCTGCAGCAAGGAGAGAAAGAAAGCCAGAGCATATTTTGAGTGTATGGTTAGCTAGGTTCTTTGCTATGTAAATAAATGATGACAAAAAAAAGAAAAAAGATTATAATAAGCCACAACCCAAACTCTAGGCAATACTTATAGCAGAAAAGAAAGAGCGCCCGGGTGGCTCAGTCGGTTAAGTGTCTGACTTTGGTTCAGATCATAATCTCATGGTTCATGAGTTCGAGCCCCACAGCAGACTCTGCACTGATAGCTCAGAGGCTACAAAGAATCTGCTTTGGAGTCTCCATCTCCCTCTCTCTCTGCTTCTCCCCTGCTTGTCCTCTCTCTTTCATTCTCAAAAATAAATAAACATTAAAAAAAAAAAAAAAAAGGAAAGCCAGAGCTAGTGAAATGTATCTGGTACATGTCTCTTTGGGAGAAAATAAATAGATATTGATACTTTTAAGAAGTTAAATGGAGATGAGTATACATAATACGTGTGAAAAGTAAACTCCAGGGAAATAAAAATAGAATGTATGACTTTTCCAAACAGCAGAAGAAAATCTGTTCTAGCCAGGGCACCTGGTGGCTCAGTGGGTGAAGCGTCCGACTTCGGCTCAGGTCATAATTTCATGGTTCGTGGGTTCGAGCCCCATGTCGGGCTCTGGGCTGACAGCTAGCTCAGAGCCTGGAGCCTGTTTCAGATTCTGTGTCTCCCTCTGTCTCTGACCCTCCCCTGCTCACGCTGTCTCTCTCTCTCTCTCCGAAATAAATAAAAAACATTAAAAAATTTAAAAAAAAAGAAAAAGAAAATCTGTTCTAACCAATGAAAGGTGGGAAAGAGTAAAAAAAAGAAACAAGATGAAAGTATGAAATAGGGGTGCCTGGGTGGCTCAGTCAGTTAAGTATCTGAATCTTAATTTTGGCTCAGGTCATGATCTCATGGTACATGAAACTGAGCCCCACACTTCTAGGGATTCTCTGCCCCCCTCTCTCTCTCTCTCTCTCCCTCAAAATAAATAAACATTAGAAAGACTATTTTTAAAAAGTATGAAATAGAAAACATGAAATTAAATAGTAGATAGTCCTAATATGCTGGTGATTAGAATTTATGTAAACGGGTTAAATTCACCAATAGAAAGATTCTCAAATTGGATTTTTTTGTTTATTTATTTATTTTGAGAGAGAGGGAGAGAGAGAGAGAGCACACACATGTGTGAGCTGGGGAGGGCCAGAGTGAGAGATGGGCAGAGAGAGAGAATCCCAGGCAGGCTCCATGCTGTCAGCACAGAGACTGACCCAGGGCTCCCTCTCGCCAACTGTGAGATCATGACCTGCGCCGAAATCAAGAGTCAGATGCTTAATTGGGTAAGCCATGCAGGCGCCCCACAAATTGGATTTTTAAAATCATTTAACAATTCCAGGAATGCAAGGGTGGTTCAGTATTCACAAATCAATGTGATACATCACATTAACAAGAGGAGGGATAAAAACTGTATGACCATTTTGGGGCGCCTGGGCGGCTTAGTTGGTTAAGCATCCGACTTTCGCTTAGGTCATGATCTCGCAGTTCGTGGGTTCGAGCCCTGCGTCGGGCTCTGTGCTGACTGCCAGCTCAGAGCCTGGAGCCTGTTTCAGAGTCTGTATCTTCCTCTCTCTCTGACCCTCCCCTGCTCACGCTGTCTCTCTCTCTCTCTCCTAGAAATAAATAAAAATATTTAAAAAAACCTGTATGACCATTTCAATAGATGCAGAAAAACATTTGACAAAGTACAACACCCATTTATAATAATAATAATAAAAACTCAACAAACTAGGTTTAGAGGGAACACACCTCAACCTAAGAAAGGCTATATATAAAACATCTACAGCTAACATCATGCTTCATGATGAAATACTGAGACCTTTTTAAAAAGAATCTAACTTTATACTTACTATAAGAGAAGAATTTAAAACAAAAGGATTTAAAAACTTGAAAGGAACAGAGATGAGAAAAATACACTAGGCAAGCAGGTGTTCCAAAAAGAAGCCAGGGAAACAAGTTCAATAGCTGACAAAATGGAAGAGAGCATCCCAAGAGACAAAGGGAAGCCATAAAAGGAGCAGAAGAAACATGGACATGAACTTGCACCCAATATTACAGCTCCACACTAAAAAAATTTAACAACTGGAAGAATTATGGAGAGAAAAAAATAGATTGACATTTCTAGGTATTAAAACATCCCTTTCAGAAACTATATCTCAAATAAGCAAAAACAAAAAAAACAAAAAAAACCTAAGGAAAAATAAAGAAGATATGAATAACAAGCCTGATCTAATAAATATGGATATAATTGTTCAGTTAACACTATCTACATACTTTTTTTTTTGAAAATACATGTAAAACAATCACCAAATGGGCCCTGAACTAGACTACAAAGAAAACCTTGGTGAGTTTCAAAGAACTAAAATCATGCAGACTTTCTGGTGCATCTGGGTGGTTCAGTGGGTTAAGCATCCGATTCTTTTTTTTTTTTTTTCTAATAGTTTATTGTCAAATTAGTTTCCACATAACACTCAGTGCTCATCCCCACGAGTGCCCTCCTCCATGCCCATCCCTCCTCCCCACCACATCCATCAGTCCTCAGTTTTTGTCAGCATTCAAGAGTCTCATGGTTTGCCTCTCTCCCTTTCCCCCACCGTTTCCGCCCTTCTTCTCCCCCTTGTTCCTCCGTCAAGTTCCTCCTAATCCTCCTATACGTGCAAACATATGGTATTTGTCCTTCTCTGCCTGACTTATTTCGCTCAGCATAACACCCTCAAGGTCCATCCATGTTGCTACACATGGCCAGACTTCATTGTTTCTCATAGCCATGTAGTATTCCATGGTATAGATAAACCACATCTTCTGGATCCATTCATCTGTTGATGGACACTTAGGCTCTTTCCATGTTTTGGCTATTGTGGAGAGTGCTGCTATGAACATTGGGGTACATGAAGCATCCGACTCTTGATTTCAGCTCAGGTCATGATCCCAGGGTCGTGGGATCGAGCCCAGCATGGGGCTCTGTGCTGGGCATGGAGCCTGCTTAAGATTCTCTCTCTCCCTCTCCTTCTTCCACTGCCCTTCCCTTGCTCTACTAGTGCATGCTCTCTCTCAAAAATAAAAAATAAAAAATAAATAAAATAATCCAGACTTTTTCCACCTGCAATGTAAAAAAATTAAAAATAAATTCCAAAGTTTGCTTAAAAAGTCCCATATGACTGGGGGTGGCTGGCTCAGTCTGGAGAGCATGTGACTCTTGATCTTGGGGTCATGAGTTCAAGTCCCATGTTGGGTATAGAGATTACTTAAATAAAAATAAATAATTTTTTAAAAAGTCACATATGAGTTTAAACTAAAACATGTCTAAATAACTCTTCAGATGAAAAGAAAAATCATATGGGGAATTCTTAAATACTTAGAACAAAATGAAAGCATTTTGTGTCTAAAGGTATCTAAAGCTATAATTAGATATGAACTTACAGATATAAATACAGTAATAAGAAAACTGTAACAATTTTTTAAGTATATTTGTTTTGAGAAAGAGAGTGTGGGGGGAGGGGCAGAGAGAGAGAATCCCATGCAGGCCCCACCCTGTCAGCACAGAGCCTGATGCAGGGCTTGAACTCACAAACAGTGAGATCATGACCTGAGCCAAAATCAAGAGTTGGACACTTAACCAACTGAGCCACCCTGGTGCCCCTTAAACTGTTTTTACTGAAATATAACTGATACACAATTGGCTGAACATTTTAAAGTACACCATTTCATAAGTTTTGACATATGTATATACCTGTGAAACCACCACCACAAAAAGGTCATAAACATTACCTATCATCACCAAAAGTTTCCTTGTATTCTTTTGTAACCCTTCTCTCTTACCCCTCTCTATATCCTTGCCCCAAGCCATAGGGCAACTGCTAATCTTTTTATCACTGTAGGTGAACTTGCACT